GTCAACCACTGCATGTTACTTTACCTTGGGGGGCAATTGCATCAGCTGGAAGTCCCAATTACAGCCTATAGTTGCACTATCAACAACCGAGACTGAATATGTGGCTGTAGCTGATGTATTTAAAGAGCAATATGGTTCAAAGGGATCCTAAGTGAAGCAAACCTGTCTGAACTGAGGCCAACCATTTTTTCAGACAGTCAAAGTGCAATACATCTGAGTAAGAATCCAGTGTACCATGAGCGAACCAAACACATAGATGTTCGCTATCACTTTGTGAGAGATCTGATCACTAGGAAGGGATAACACTCAATAAGGTTCCTACTGAGCACAATCCAGTAGACATGGGTACGAAGATTGTTACAATTTCTAAGTTCAAGCATTGCTTGAACCTACTGTCCATTCAGTAAGCAACAGTAACAAGAGAACTATGAAGGACTCACTAAAGGCAAGCTGCACTAGCATAGGGGTTGTTTTCAACCCATCAAGGTGGAGATTGTTGGATGATGGCTTGAAACGCTGTCGTATTTGCACTTAAATGGAACAACTTCGTTTTGATTCAAACTGAAGAAACAATCCTAAGCGTTGATGAAAAGAAGATCTAACGGCTGGAATTTAACCCTAATGTCAACCATATAAAAACAGAGTTATTTGGCAGTTTACGCAATCATCCATTTTTGCAAATCTCTCTCTTCTTCGTTAAACACCATTTTGAGTCTTTAGTGTTTTCAATTTGGGTTGAGTGAATCTTATAACTTGTTGATTGAGTGATTGGGTCAGGTCATTCTAGGTGTATTGTATACACTGTATATAGGGATTCGAAGGGTGTAATCTCTAGGGTGAGTTACGGGTTGAAGAAGGGGTTTTGAGGGATTTGTGTTGCTATGTGTAATCTGTAATCTTGACAGTGATTTAGTGAAATGTGGGACTGGAATACTATAAAAGATCTGCCTCACTTGAGCTGGATGGTTTTGTAGACTCTGATTTTGCAGGTGACAGGGACACTAGAAAGTCAACCATTGCATATTACTCTACCTTGGGGGGCAACTGCATCAGTTAGAAGTCCCAATTACAGCCTATAGTTGCACTATCAACAACCAAGGCTGAATATGTGGTTGTAGCTGATGTATTTAAAGAGGAAATATGGCTCAAAGGGATCCTGAGTGAAGCAAAACTGACTGAACTGAGACCAACCATTTTTTCAGACAGTCAAAGTGCAATACATTTGAGTAAGAATCCAATGTACCATGAGCGAACCAAACACATAGATGTTCGCTATCACTTTGTGAGAGATCTGATCACTAGGGGGGAGATAATACTCAATAAGGTTCCTACTAAGCACAATCCAGCAGACATGGGTACGAAGATTGTTACAATTGCGAAGTTCAAGCATTGCTTGAACCTACTGTCCATTCAGTAAGCAACAGTAACAAGAGAACAATGAAGGACTCACTAAAGGCAAGCTGCACTAGCACAGGGGCTGGTTTTTTCAACCCATCAAGGTGGAGATTGTTGGATGATGGCTTGAAACGCTGTAGTATTTGCACTTAAATGGAACGACGTCGCTTTGATCTAAACGACAGAAACAATCTTGAGCGTTGATAAAAATAAGATCCAACGGCTGAAATTCAACCCTAATGTCAACCATATAAAAGCAGAATTATTTTGGCAGTTTATGTATTCGATTCATTTTTCATTTTATACAAGTCTCTCTCTTCTTCGTTAAACACCATCTTTGAGCCTTTAGGGTTTTCAATTTGGGTTGAGTGGATCCTGTAACTTGTTGATTGAGTGACTGGGTTAGGTCATTCTGGGTGTATTATATACGTTGTATTTAGGGATTCGAATGGTGTAATCTCTAGGGTGAGTTACAGGTTGAAGAAGGGGGTTTTGAGGGATTTGTGTTGTTGTGTGTGTAATCTGTAATCTTGACAGTATTAGTGCAGCAAGCTCATGTGATTCTCGAGTTCAACGTGGACGTAGCTTGCTCAAATATAGAGCAAGTGAACCACGGTAAATCTGGTTGTTCTTGTGTGTGTTTGGTGTGATTCTTGTTCTTGATCTGTTGCTATTTTGGTTGATTCTTTCTGTGAGTAGTTATAACAGTAATACTACCGGGAAAGAAGCAATATAGAAAAAGAGTCTTAATCTGGCATTGAAACAAGATTAGTGGATTTTTTTTTAAATTAATTACTGTACTAATACAGAAAGTACACAGCAGCCCTCTGCTTCAATGAGTTGATGATGATCTCTATCTGGAAAGATTGGTATTCCACTAATGACAAACGAGAAATGATATAAAGAAATCATGTTTCAGTGTCACTGTTTTTGTTTTCTTGTAGTTGCCATTGTGGGTTCTACTTTACTTCTACCATTGTTTGTTGCTGCTGCAACCATCATCAAATAAGATTAGTGCCCTCCCCCCATGTCACTTTGCATTCATAATATTCTAAGCCACTAATCAAGCATTAACTATTTCAAAAGCAACATGATTATTTCTATATCAATTTTCTTTTCTAATTTTATGGGTAAATGACAGAACTATAAACTTTATTCCAGCAAATTGTATAAGAAAGCACTCTTGCCACTTTATTCCAAATTTGATCATATTTTGAGAAGGTTTCACCATATACTGTTGGCCACCTTTACTTCTTTTAATTTTATTTACAGTTTAAAGATAGTAAACAATTATTTAATAACAAAGTTATCTATCTACCCTCTAAAACCCTCTTGAAGAATCATGAATATGCCTGCAGGCTTATAAACAAATATGCATATGATAAAGCAAGGCACCAAGACGTGTTTATAGGCTCTATGGTGCCTCTCACATCGTTCATGAAAAGTTTTATCTTTCATTGGTTCTCTCACTCATAAATAACCAGGTGGATATTTTATTAAAATGGTCATTACACTACAACTTAAACAAGTTTTATACGAAAGATAATCGTTTTTGGATATTCTAAGTTTAGCAACCTAATAATCGCTTGTTCCTCGTGATAGTTTTGTACGGATAAAATATATGCAAAGCCTGGTGAACCCGGGTTCAGAAATTTAAAACTTCTGTTGATAAACTCTATAATGCCCTTCATATAAAACTTCTGTCAGAATAAACTTTTCCAACAGTCCTACTGTTTTTACTTATTACTGTTAATAGGCATGGCAATGGGCAGGGTGGTACCCATTCCCACCCTCAAAATCACTCCCCACTCTCACCCCATCCCCGTTACAGGGATGATAGAAATTCTCCTTTCCCCCGCCCTGTTAGTTTTATATAAACATAATTTAATTTGAACATTACTAAACACAATAGTTAATTCTCATCCACATGATAAACACTTAAATTAATCGTTTAAACATAATTAATTATACATAAATATAGGTCAGGGTTTGTTCTTGTTCAATTATTTAGGGTGCGGGAATTTGAAAAAATATGAGTTTATATAGGTAAGATAATTGTGTAATTAGGTAAAATATAAGGGTATTAGTGAAAAGTAAATATATATAATTTTTAATTTTATATATTATATACGGGGCGGGGTGGGGTGGGGATTAAAACACCCCCCACCCCCGCCCCATCCCCAAGGGTGGGGATTAAAATATCCCCCACCCCCACTCCCATCCCCAAAAAAAACCGGGGCTTCCCCACCCCATATGGGGCGAGGCGGGACAGGTCCCCGAAATCCCAAGGAACATTGTCATACCTAACTGTTAAGGACACTCGTTTGAAATACTATTCTTTTAACCCTGACATTTAATAAAATAGATGTTAAAAGACAATAACACCCTTAAACTCTATAATTGAAGTTATGTATAATCGGAGTTAAATTTTGATTGTCACATTTTTTAACTTATGTCGCTCCAAAGAGATATATAAATGTATGTTTCTTACTAAATTGAGTTGGCATAAAATCAGAATAAAGTGAAATAACCAAAGATGTCAACTACAACTCTCAGCTTATATGCCACAAATTATGAGATGCAACTCTACTTATATTATACAAAAAGATAAAAGAGTACTGAAATTTTAAATTTTGAAGATCATGAAGAAGAGATTATTATTTTCAAACTATAAATTAGACAAGTTTATTATAATCTGCAGCATCATATGAACGTTGCTCACCATGATCACCACAATCATGACCAAGGTGGAGGTAACGCCCACAGTGGTGGTAACGAAAGCAACTGCGGTAACGATGGTGGAAACGGAAAGGGCCACAAAGTAGTTAATTATGGTGGTAACGATGGTGGAAGCGTCTGGTTTATTTACTCCAGGTTAGTACGGTGATGTGCAGAAAACATGTGTTCAATATCTCCTTCGCCAGTGTTCAGTTACAAACATATAATGTGTGAACCTATTTTTGCCAGTTACAAACATGATACTTCTGCATGTTCGAAACTCCATTATAAATCATCTTCTCCTACTTTCATAACTCCATCACTCTTCTGCATTACAATGGATCCTTATTTCCATCACAATCTCCATGGTTGTTGTCCATGGTGCCCTGGCTTTGGAAATGGCTTCGGAAATTGCTGTGTCTGCTGCGAGGTATTAGTATAATAAACTTTCAGTTATGAATAAGGAACTATCAACTCAGGCATCATCTGAACAATCCTCAGCAAAATCATAACCAGAATGACGGGAACAATCCTCTGCCTGGCGGGAACCACCCAGATCATAACCAGGAAGGCGCTGGCGGTCGTGGCAGATTTTTTCATATGGGTTTATCTGGCCATGGACCATTGGGATATCAAGGACAAGGTCATCGAAACCAACCAATTGCACACCAGCAAATTGGTTTTCCAAATATAACTCAAGGTAAAATCACGTCATAACCACCACTATGTGGCCTAATGATAAAAGAACAAAAAGAGCTTATCCAAGCTCTTAAGTTCGAGTCCCCCCATACCTTAATAGGGGTGGCTACTACCAAATTACCCAGTCAGACTTTCAGAACTCTCAAAGGATTAGATGAGATGCGCAAACTAGCTCAACACTCCGATGATTAAAAAAAAAAAAATTGACTGTCACATGTTTATTAATGAGTTCAAAGCATCCCAAGATTTTCCCAAATAACAAAAGTAATTTCAAAAAAGAAAAAAGTTGCTCAGTGGATTTGACACAAGTCACTCACTCAAGGTCTGAGATTTAAGCTAGTTAATTGTACAAAGGAAGAAAGAAAGTAGAATTACAGAAGAAAACACAAACTTATTTAAGGAACAAAAGTCTACAACAAAAAAACAGAAATCAAAACTAAAAATTTGAACCCCTCAGAGGAGAAAAATGAAAATAGTTTTTGATTTTATAAACAGGGCGTGGCGGTAAAATGAAAACAACAGAGACTTTGAAAAAGGTGGTATATACAGCTAGCTCTATCTGGTAAGTAAAGATTCTGGATCTAATGGGCACACCGTCTCCGGAAAATCTGCTCTTTGTCCAGCAAGGGAGTAATATGCAAGTATATGAGCTGGCTGCGGATTCACTTCTTGCTGTCCGACCTGATCAGCCTCATGAACTTTTCTTGGAGGAATCAACTCAATGTTCCAAAATGGGCGAACCATTGCCAAAAGATCACGACCGTTTTGGGATGCTCGATACCCTTGCACCCACAAGTACCTCAGTGAAGTCAGTTGCATCACAGCAATAGCTAGGGCACCCTCACTGAAGGAACAACCTCTCATTTCCAGTTTTTGCAGGTTAGGGCATCCCTTCGAGAACTCTATAAGCCCTGCATCAGACTCCCCAACACAACCCAAAAGCATCCATCTCACGTTTTGACTGTACTGCCCAATATAACTGAGACCCACGTCTGTTAAACCTCCCTGTCTTAAATATAGAGCAAACCTTCTAAGCTTTTCACATCCCCTTAATAGAGCTTGGACTCCATTATCAAGAGGCAAATCAGCTATCTTATCTTCTCTATCAAGCAAAACTAGGCGAAAATCACAGAGGTTTTTCAAGTGAGCACCTATACATACCAGAGATGCATTTGTGATATCTGATACGTAAACCGCCAAGTATTCCAGCTCTAGGCAGCCTTGAGCCAGATGAGTTAAACCTCTTTGTGAAACTAGACCTTCTTCATCCTCCATTTCCGCATCATCATCGGCCCCTCGCTCAATTCTAAGCCTCTTTAGTTTCTTACAATTCTGAGCAAGAACTTCTAATCCTCTATCTCCAATTACATTCCTAGTCTGCCAACATAAAAAGCAAATTAATACAAAATTACTCTTTCAGTTTCTGATCCCCTTAGATTTCTGAAACATTCTTCTGAATTTATACATTTTAAATTGCCCTAAAATTTCAAAATTTCTCTTCAAAAAATGCGGTATGACGAACAACATTCTAATACCAGTGACATGACAATTTTGTGAGAAATGTCAACAAAATAAAAATTACTGAAAATAAATATTCCTCTAAACTAAAGCATCAAAGAAAACAAAAATGTAAGAAACCAAACTACAAAGTAGAAAATTTCATAAACAGGTATATAGTGACTTATGCATTTTATTGTTTTAAAATCTAAACCCGATTGATAGGTAGAACCACCAGTTGGGCCTTGTTCCACCTAAGATTAAACCTGAACCACTACTGCACTAAAATTGTTTGACCAGCCAGTTTAACAGGTGAACTATTGAACCATTAATTGCCATAAGAACCGGATGACTTTTCATAACGAGAATAAAATTCCTAATACCTTCCTGCAAAATTAAAGAATATATTGTTTAACTCATGTTCTTTCCGTTTTCCCTAAATTAATCAACAATAATCTACTACTATGTTCTGTCAGTTGAAAGCCTCCATCTTCTTACAACTAAAGAACGTGAAGCTAATGGCAATTGTATTATATGTCAAAACANCATTATCATTTCAATCATCTCATTGGTTAAAGAGCATCTTCTGTTTTCAACAATCTAGTCACTCATTGAGAATGTTGACTCGGATGTAATTGTAGAAAACAGCACAAATAAAATGGCACGTGCCATTTGGGCTATAATGGGCAATCGACTTTGATTTTGTTTCCACCATTGAAGCACATCCATCTCACGTTTCTCCTTATTCGTCATATAGGACATGTCCATTTGTAGGTAGCAATTAAGCTCATTTGGTCCATGTATGTACGAGCTAGAGCTGCTACTTTCGCTTCCATATACATCCACATGCTCGATTCTTGATAGTTGTCTTTATCAGGGTCATGTTGGTCGTCTCTGCTGGACGCTCCTATTCTATTGTACCTGCTCTTATATAAAGAAAAAAAAAAAAAAAAAAGCTTTTCAATTTTTTGCTTAAAGTTAATCAAATAATACGTATAATCATGTCATAAATGCTGGTCTATCTTAGTAACTACGTGTAATTTAAATCTAGGATCTATAACAAGGCCTCATCTATATATGAATGGAATATCTAACCAATATTTCTCATATTTTTTTCCCATCTTTGAAACAATTTCCATTAAGAAGTCATTATATCTATATTTAGCAAAAGTCTTGGAAATTTGAAATAAAATATCTAACGCTAAATTAGTAGTAGGATTATAAATACCACTTAATATACTAGTGGATTCATAAAAAACTTTAAGAAATGAATAAAAAAGTTTGCAAACCGTCCAATCATCATAACTGACAACTTCCTGCCGATTCTTCCGATTGACGAAATCTGTAATTTGTCTTACGGTTGGCCAAGTTTTTTCCAACATCAAGTAGGTGGAATTATTATGGATAGGCATGTCTGTACATAACTTTAAAGGTCGAACCGATTGATCTTTTTGCTTACAATATTTGACGTACTCCTGCCATATTTTGTTACTACCGTCGACAATGAATCTGATAGTCGCGCGCACCATCTCAATCTTTGAATTTATAGCTTCTAAACCTGCTTTAACAATCAAACTAATGATGTGACAGTCACATCTCTAGTGAAAAAAAATTGTCTTCACCACACGAATCCAATATCTTTTAAAAAAAAAGAGAGAGTTGCGGTGTTAGCAGCTGCATTATCTAGCGTTAGCGCTACAACTCTATCAATTAATACATATGCTTGCAAAACTTCAAGTACTGTAACATAAATAGTGTCAGCATCATGTGCAGTATATAATGGTCTAAAACCCAACCATTTTTGTTGTAAACCCCAACCATGATCTAAGTAATGTATTGTGACAGTTAAAAAATATATTTTTGATCTACAAGCCTATATGTCTGAAGTAAGTGCAATTGATATATTGCTAAAATTTTAAAATTCATTTTTAAGTTGAATATTTATTTGGTTATAAAGTTTTAGTATGTCTCTTCTACTTGTACTTTTACTAACAGGGTATATGCTGGACAAAATACAATTTTAATCAAGTGAATAAAAAAAAGGATTTTCAGATAAAGAAATGAGAGAGTCCGTAGTAATTATATATTTTACTATTTCCTCTCGTGCTTAGAGTGTATTGTATTGCCATATTGATAGAGTTGAGAATTGTGGATTAAAATCAAGTTTAGTTTGAATTTGTCTATCTAGTTCGATTGAAGATTAACCGGACAACTACATTATTTGGGGGTGCTTCTTCTCCAAATGTTGTCACATTATCGAAGTTCCCTTCTTGTTCCACAGAAATTACATGTCCCGCACAATTCTTCCCCTCCCAATTCGCCTTTGTTCGTTTTGATTTGGTGAAGTTTCGTCATATATCAGACATGACCCTCTTTGACGGTCAGGGGGGTTGGGTCATGGAATCGCAGCTCGTTTGTGTTTGGCTGCACCCCATCCTAGTTGAATGTGGTTGTTGTCGTTGAATTGTAACTGCTACCTCTAGAAATGATAAAAATGGATCGAACCCTTCAATTTCTTCGGTTGATGGAACGTATAACTCATTTGGCCATTCCATTATGAATTTGTGATCAAATAATAAATAATTAAAATTAAAAAATAATAATAATATGAATAAGATATGATATTGAAAAATAGAAAAAATTGAATAATATAAATAAAATATATGAATAAAATATAAATATAAATATAAATTGAATTGAAGAAAATATGAATGAGAATTGGATTGGAGTAGAGAGATTGAGAAATTGGGAGAATGAGAGTTGGTGTGAAAAAAATTGGAAGTGTGGGAGATTATTTATAGTGTCTGCTGCCAACGGTCATGTGCTGTAAAATTGATTTAACCTTTAATATTTTTGTCAATTTCAAAATATTCAGGAGGTTTTTGGATATTTGATAAATAACTTTTTTGAAATTAAGCAAAAGGGTTTGGGCCCGGGCCCGGGCTCGGTCCCATGCTCGGGCCTTGGAGGAGGGCCCGATTAAGGGATCGGTCCCTCCTCCCATAGGCTTGGTCTGGTTTGGGACTAGGTCTTACAAGGACCGGTCCTAGGACCAGTCCTTTGGGTTTAGGTTTGCCCAGGTCTACTGTTAATACTTGAAATACATTACTTTCTCAGTCGATATTTGATGAGTTATCAGGAGCTAGAGTAAGATGAGTTTTGTATAGTGAAGGCCGATAGATTGAATGATGGTGACCGATTGAATATTTGCCACCAAAATCAGCTGAAAACCAGTTAACAACAGGAAACACTAGTTTTGTGGTGGCTAGCAATCTGCGAGAAATCATGTATTAGGGTGTGAGAAGTTTTGTCGAAAGGAGACCCAAAAGTTCAAATAGTGGTGACAAAGATAATTTTTATTATTGAAATTAGTCAGAATCGACTTTAGATACTAACAAAATATTAACTTTCAATGAAAAAGTATATTTTAAAACTTTTTGGGTAGAAAAAATGCCGCATACTCTTAAATAATTTACTTCTATTTCATTTTCCCAGCTAAGGTTTGTGATCCAGTTAGGTCACTCATGGGTACTTCATATTCTGAGGTAGAGAAAAGATTTCCTTAATTTCTTCTAAGTTGAAATGGTCATATTCACACTTATTAGTGATCACCTAGAAATTGTTTGATTAGATGGTTGATTATGAAATCTTGTCATTTCAAATGGTGATACGTGGGGCATTATTATTAAGTATTAACATCTCAATTTTGAATATGACGTCACTGCCCACCGTTTCCTGCCCACCACCAACTCAATCCTTCCGTGATTAGACATGTATTAATTTCCCCTAATTGTATTTATTAATTTTAAAACAGGGCGTTCACATTAATCTATTTTTTTTTTCTTTTAAAGTTGTTAGAGTTAATACTGACCATTACATTAGATCTCCATAGCTGGCCCGGTAGCTTGCCAGGTAACATTACCGGGCCAGCAACGTAGCATAACCCAGATTAAAATACAATTAATATTTTCAACTTTTTCACAAATTACACGAAAACGCAATCGTTTTCCACAATTAGTTTTCTAAAATTATGTAGAGGTGAAGGGAAAGCATGACTTTAATTTCATGAATCTCGTGACAGCACGGAAAAAAAGGTGGAATTTAAAAATATATTATTATTATTATTGTTTTAATTATATCATTTATAAACAATATCTCATGTCTTACGTATTAAATATGTATGATTTCAGAAGATTATTTCATACAAGATAAATACAATATAATTTCATTAATTTGATACAAGAAAAAGATTCATAACAACTTTGAAATGTGAAAAATAACATGAGTTTTGACATAAAATAAAGTTTTATGTGAAAATTTCATGAATCATTTAGCTCATGACTTACAATACGTAGCAATTTTTTTTATTTTTACGATAAAGACCTTGTACTTGAAATTTAAATAATTGAAATATATGTATTTATCAATTAATTTTACACATTTTTACAATTTATTTATATTTTAGTTTTCATTATATCACCTAAAATCAATTTTATAGGAAATAATATTATATTTTAATCTTATATATTATTATAGATACTCTCGAAATAATATAATGCATGTAGAGCACGACATAAAATGACCAAAAACGCCACAACACATAATTAAAAATAATATCATTCAATTTTTTTTTTATATAATTTGACTCAAAAAAAAAAAAAATTTATAACATAGCGTGGAGCATCCTTGACCATTATTTGATGATAAATATTAAAAAATAAAAAATAAGCATTATAAATTAGAAAAATGTTAAATAAGAAGGAGAATATATTTGTTGTGTACTCTTTTTGACATTATTGAAAATTGAAATCCACTTTTTATTTAATAACGCACTTAGAATGATTTTCTTCTTTTAGTTGTTGTGGTGGTCCACCAAACAACATAATTATTAATCATTGTTATTATTTTCTAAAAT